ATCGATACACATACACAAATATATACATATACATATATACACCCACATGTGCATGCATGCAAAAAAACATATCAATATCCATACATAATTACATTATTATATCTATATTCTCCTATATTATATATATGAACTCACAAATTCTTATATTTATACATACATACACAGATTACCCGCCATCCCATATCTATGGCATGACATACATGTACCCATCTATATATATACACACACACTCACACATATACAGAAATTATAAAAAGTTATATAAACACTCATCCACACATATACATGTACCCACATATCCACATACATACATATATCCACACATATACATGTACCCACATATCTACACACATACATATATCCACACATATACATGTACACACATATATATATATATATATATATATATACATATATACATACAACTACATATATTTAAAAAAAAAAGAAGCAAGATCACCTATATACATACAAGTATATATACATACATATCCATATCCACCCTCTCCAAATATGTGCCCACAATACACAAAAAAACAACACATGCATGCTTATCTTTCCATATAAAAGCATATACATATACATATCAAAAGACATATCAATGTTCATATTCAAACTACATAATTATATACATAAGGTTATGTGTTTGCATTCATGTGTGCATGTATATGTGTGGATATATGTATGTACAGGCATATGTGTGGATGTGTGTTTATATAACTTTCTATAATTTCTATATATGTATGTGTGAGTGTGGTTGTGTATATATAGATGGATACATGTATGTCATGCCATAGATATGGGATGGCGGGTAATCTGTGTATGTATAAATATAAGAATTTGTGAGTTCATATATATAATATGGGAGAATATAGATTTAATATTGTAATTATGTATGAATATTGATATGTTTTTTTGCATGCACGCACATGTGGATGTATATATGTATATGTATATATTTGTGTATGTGTATCGATGTGTATATGCGTGCATATGTATGTGTGTATATGTGTGTGTATATATATATATATATATATATATATATGTATATATATATATGTATGTGTGTGTGTGTGTGTGTGTGTGTATATATGTATGTGTATATCTACATGTGTATGTGTGTATGTATAGTATATACATATATATATATATATATATGTGTGTGTGTGTGTGTTTATGTGTATATATAGATATATATATATATATATATATATATATATATATATGAATATATATGTATATGTGTGTGTGCATGTGTACAGATATATGTATGTGTATGTGTATATTTATGGATATATAGATTTTTATAAAACAAGGACTTACAAGTCCATTATTAATGTTTTATCTCATTTTCTCCTTTAATATTCTCCAATTGGAAGTGTGAGTTTAAAATTCTTTATATTATGAAGGTAAATTTTTTTAAATTGATAATTTAATTTAAATTGAAATATATTACCCTTTAATAATCATTATTGATGATAAAATATTTAAATTGGAAAATTTTTTTGATATTTATGTAGGTGTTAATACATGAAATTACCTGTATATATCCGTACATGGGTACCTGTATGAGTGATTGCACATGTAAAGGAACATATGTATATGTGAGGTTTGCATGGATGTATATACAGTATATGACAGAGCAAGATCTTTAATATTACCTTCAAATATTACCCCATATTAACTAAAGTTTAAGTAAAAGAGATTACCCAGCTAAAAATAGTCACGAGTTAAATTCATGAACAAAATTCAAACGGATAGAGATGTCTTCTTAATAATGAATAATAAAAAAAATTTTTTAAAATAAAAAAGATTACTAGAAGTAAACTTATTCTTTAAAATAAAATTTTATTCTTTTAATGTATTTTATATGAATATTTTTTCTAATCGACTATTTCATAGAAAATCCCCAAAATTAAAAAAAAATTTAAATCACTAACAAACATCAAATTAAATTCTTTGTAGACAGTTTAGACATTCAAATTTATATCAAACATTATAATCTTTATGAACCCCCAAAATAACACTTTCAAAGTAAAACAAAATAACAGTGTCTTTTTCGAGCCTGTTCGTTCCAAAGAATATTAGTGTGTTCGTTCCAAAGAATATTAGTGACACCTTCTCTCATGACTTACTTCTCTCTTTTTCCTTTTTATGTCTTTTTTTCCTCTACCCCTTCTATATCAATATATAACTTCTGTTAAGTTATATATTTTGCTTTTATTTTAGTTTTAATTTCAAGTTATTAATTAAAATTGAATATTTCCAATAAGCAAAATACTTTGCTGTGTTTCAAAACTAAATTGACTGGAAGGAGTTTTTGTTTTGAAGTTGCTAAAATCACTGATAGCAGTTTCAAAACAAGCAATTTTGAGCCATCCTTCATCACAATTGTAATTCTCTTTATTAAAAATCTTTCAAAATAAAATGTACTTTTCTGAAAGTTTGAGGAATATTAGCCGATTTAAAGTTTAATTAATCTGATTTGAAAAAAGATATTACTTACTTTAAGTAAATGTATTTTTTAACAGTGGTACCTTTATTGTTTTTAAATCAAGTTCGCCCCAAGCAAGGCAATAAAGCCACTAAGACACAAGTGGTTACTGGATGTGGGAGAATTAGAAAACAGAAACATTACTCAGCAGTGAGAACAAAAGAAGAGTAATCAGGAGAGCAGTAGATTGCGATCGACACTGCATTTAAATTTTTGAAGATTAAAATCTTACAATGCTGAAAATCATGGGGCTTAGAAAGTAGTTCCACAAGTGAGAAGTGTGAGAAAAGAAATTGTTAGCATAGAACATATGGTTACATCTGATCGACTCAATTGTATATCACTTTAGGTACCATAACAAAGAGCTAATCTGAACAATTACAATGAAATTACTTATAGAAAGGGCACCGGGAAGCAACTTTACAGCAACAGGAAAGCGACTGAAGCCAAGATGTCTGGTCAGGACCAATAATATTGCTGATTCTTTAGATTTTATCAAGAATTTCTAAACATATAGCAAGAGCACTGGACCATACGTGGCAGCAATATTCTAAGCATGGGTGAATGGTAGACTTATAGATATGTAATATACATTCTGGAGAGAAAAATTGTCTAGCAAATCACAGTGAAGCAATTTTCTTAGCAGCAGAACTAGCAATGGATTCAATATAGTCTTTCGATGTTAGCCAAAGGTTAGCATCAGCCATGGTAATAGAAAGCAGAAAGGAATGTCTCAAATTAAAGAACTTTGTCAATAAAAACAATGAAGCTGAATTTCTGAATCAAGAACAGACTAAAATGTTAAATGATTTTGAAAATGAATTTTAAAATGAAAAACATTAGTTTGAAAATCTTATTTTAGAGTAGATTTTTCCTTTATCTTAACAAGCATGTTAATATTAAGAAGAAATATATATATCAGAGGATGTGTGTGTGTGTGTGAAACCTTTTTATTTGAGATCCAACTAAATTTGACACATAAATTGTACAATGTAACAGATAGATTTAAAAAAAATCAATAAAGCCAATCAAAAATTGGTAAATTCAACTTTTTTCTTCCAATTTCATTCAAACTTAGTATGTAGGATACTTACATCATGACGATGTCAATGATACCTCATTTTTATTTTTATGCCACTGTGTTTAGCAAAAAACGAAAATTTGATTTCAGCACAAATTTTAAACTAAAAACTCCCTCAATTTTCAAGCAATATAATACAAACTTCACTCATTCTCAACTTGATTCTCCAATTCCAATTATGATAATCAATTTGTTATGTGACCATTATTATACATTTTCATATTTTATTAAAAAATACAAAAATCAATTTTTATGGAGGAATATTCAAAATTAATAATCTGCATTATGTCTCTAATATCACCAATATATATATATATTGCCATTATATCTCTAATATTGACAAATTCCATTTGATATTTTCTATATTATTATCATTACCAAGATTATCTTCATACAATTTCATAAGAAAGATTATGATGGTTTTAAAATTTTAAACTATGTTAAACAGAATCATTATCATGAAAATCCTCAGTTTTAATCACTGTAACCATTATAATAAACCAATATTAATATTAGCAATCTTCTTCCTAATAACATGAATACTGACAACATCCATCTGGTATTTCCTATATTATTATGATTGCTGGGATTACCTCTGTACAGTTTAGCTCTTAATATTCTTATATGAAGTGATTCTAAGATTTTAAAGAAGAATCCTTGTACTGAAAATCTTCATTTTTATCATTGTAGCCTTTATGATAAATCAATATTATTATTATCATTGTTTTCTTTAATATTACTATTGATTACTTGTGATAGAATGCTTTTAGGATACTGGATCAATTAACATTGTTTTCCTTTGTTTTTTCCTATCAGTCCCTCATTATCTTAGTGTATTTGAACATCTGTCTGCTGAAAAGCAAGCTCCACAATCATAGCCGATGACGCTTCTCCTTACTCATCTATTATTTTTACATCTACATATCTATTCCATTTTGATTAACTGAATAATAATAAAAATGAAAAAATAATATCTATTATGGTGAAACCGTTTGGAAGAGTTTGGGTCATTTATCAACATGAATCCATAACTGAGGTGTTTATTAAGGAAGATGAAAATGAATGAAAAAAAATAAAATCAAAGATGGCAACACAGTTGGAGTCAAACCTGACAAGTTCGTCTCCGTTGATTTGTCGGCCTTTGATGACTTGTACTGTGTTCACTAAAATGTGCATTTCAAATCTCACGCCTAATGCCGAAGTATCATGGGAAATTAGTTGTCCATTTTTCCCTCTTCAATTTTTTTGTCTACATTTGTTTATTTTTCCATTATTTTGTTTGTTTGTTTTTTTTCCGGCTTGTGTGATAGATTCAATAAGCCTTTGTTATATGTGTCAGGTAAGCTTTTATTTATTTTTTATTTATTCTGTAATGAATAAGTTTTGCTATAGATAAATTATGATATGTTATCAGAGCACAACTCTATGGTTAGCATGTTGGAATTAAAACAGAAAATATTGTGGTTCTATCTTTTTAGCTGAAACCAATAAGATGAAATCCCTGAATTTGACAGAGAGGAAGTTTTAGCACCCAGTAAACAATAAACAGTGAATAAATGAATAAATAAAAACACTGTGAAAATATATTTTTTTTAAAGTTAGGTTTTTCAGTTTCATTTTTTTCTATTTGTCTAAATGGCGCTGCAAAAGTACACAAATGTTTAAAATGGGGAGAAAAAGTTGCATCAACGTGCATGCCAAACGGGTTAAAAACAATAACATTTATCATTTAAAGGGTAGTTTTTATGCTTGTTTTCACTTTAACCACATTCAACAACAATAAAAAGGATATTTCTAACTCGTTTAGAATAAAAAAAATAAATAAAGGAAAATGAAAGAAATGTTAGGTTCCCAAATTTGACATTTTTTTACAGTATTATACTTCTTGAAGCATTCCACTCACAATGGAGTTATGATTTCATTGCAAGTAAATTTCAGCTTTTGGTGTATGATTCAGATTCTCAAGGTATAAAGCTAAACACTTCTTTTTTTAAAAATCTATATAATGTCCCCATTATGGCTCTCCACAGATTCCTTTTCGTTATTATTTCTGAATTGCCATGATATTTGTGGAAAGAAATGATTTCCAGTTGCCTTTTCCATGGTTTTGAATTAGAAGTTGTCCTCCTAAACTGCCAATCAAGGCTAGAGCGCCCAATCTCCCCTGCTATTTATGCCAGGGATGGAGAGGGTAAGAATAGATAGATTCATATCTTTCCAAAGAGATTATTTTATGCATAATATCCAATAAGCAAATCTGAAACATCATCATCAGCTTCATAGTCAATATCATGATGACTGTAATTATATACCAATATATTTATAAGGTTTAAAATTTGCTATAGTTATGGGAGAACAGTGTTCAATATCTGTGAGTGCATTTATAGATATAGACAGTTTGAACATAAGAATCAAAACTGTATGGTAACTGTCAGTTTTACATATCAAGCCATCTTCAGTTAATGTGTCACTATTTCTTGGGTGAGCTTTATATACAGGCTACTGGGGGATTAAGGAGAAGTGGAGCAAAGAGGAAACTATGTTATCTACAACTACATCATGATCAAAACTATTAATGACAAAAACAAATATTCAAATATTTTTAATTGTGTACGTTATAGAATTAAATCTATTTTTCACAATTATTTGTTTATTTTTATAGCAGCTCTCTTTCTCTCTATATATATACACAGACACACACGCTTGTTTGTAATATATATATATATATATATGTGTGTGTGTGTGTGTGTGTGTTATAGATATATATATGTGTGTGTGTGTTCTATATACATATATATATATATGTGTGTGTGTGCATGTAATATATATATATATATATATATGACAAATTAAGAAAACACCTTAAAATATATCTCAGTTATAATTGATTTCATTAATATTGTTATATTCATCTCTTCAGACTGAATATTTTTAAGAAATGTTATCAATCCATTTCAAACAGAGAAAAGAAGAAAACTGGTGCTAGTTTAGATGGCATCATTATCACATAATACACATATCATCATTTTAAAATAATAATAATATCCAACTTAAATAATATAAAATAAATAAAAAATTATATAAAAAATCAATTAAATAATAAAATAAAAAAAATCAATAAATAAAACTAATATATTTAGATTATTAAATAAATTTAGAATATAAAAAAAAATTATAAAAGATAAAAAAAATAAAAGATAATAACTTAATAATAATAATGAATAAGCAAAATATAAAATATTAAATAAAAAATAAAAAATTATAAATGATGTAGGCATAAGCAAGATAATTATATAAATAATTAAATCTATCTACAGAACTATATATAAAACATGTGTGACAAGCAATATAACAACATATACACATATATGTGTACATGTATTCATATGTATGTATATATGTTTGTATCCATATAAAATAAGAATCAACATTTCAAGTGTATATCCCCCAAAGTCGATGATTTTAGGGAATTTTAGATTTGTTTTTATGTTAACACTTGAAAATAAATTCATTTCTTTGATTCAACAATTGGTCAGCATTTTTATATTTAATTATTATGATTTTCTCCTGTATGCACAAATTGTATCTGTTCCGGAATTTGTTGGGAGTTTAAGACTGACAGATGATATCCCATTTGTCTTGTGAAGCCTTTATTTTTAATCTCCAATAATGCTTAGACAGAGAAGTTTGGTGTATTATAGAAGCATTGGTAAAGGAATGCTGGTGATTTTAGAGTCAATGATGCCATTTCTTAAAAATGTTCGGTCTGAAGAGATGAATATAACTATATTCACAAAATAAATTGTAACCAAGATAGATTTTTAAGGTGTTTTCTTAATTTATCATTATATATTGCTTTGTAACTTACATTGAGCTCTCATTGGATTAAAGTCCTCTTTGGAATAATCCCTACCAATTTGTAATTGATATTTTATATATATATATGCACACACACACACACACAGGGTTATTCAAAAAGAATGAACTGATTTCATTGCACAATATTTTAATAAGGAAAAGCAATAGACAACTCTAGCCAAGTCACAAGTATTCTACTCACAATCAACTTTTATTTCTTGTCTGACAAGTGTTCAATGTAGCATCCACCTGCAGCATGGCCAACATCAATGCGATAAGAGAATTCCTCCCAGACTCGTATCAGCATATCACGATCCACTGAGTTAATTGCTGTTGTTATTCAATGTTTAAGCTCATTGAGGTTAGTGGGTAACAGTGGAACATAAATGCAATCTTTTATGTATCCCCACAAGAAAAAAATCATACACGGTAGGGTCTGGCCTTCTTGCAGGCCAAGCACAAAGAGTAAAGTCTTGGTAAGTACCTGAGAAAGGTGTAGTCTGTAAGGTTTTAAATGCAGATGTCTTCTTAGCACATGCCGGATAGTGAATTGAGAGATCGCAAGCTCATGGGTAGCTCGATTTGTAAACTTCCATTGACTCCCCTCAAACACAGCATGGATTCTTGCCACTTGTTCCTGTGAAACTCGTGGACATCCTGACTTTTTCCTTTCCACAGACACCCACTCTCTTGAGATGGTTTAAACTACTGTCAAGAGGGTGGATTAATGTTGAATTGCCTTTGAAAAGCATGCTGCACTATGACAACTATATTTGTTATCAAGAATACAGAACACCTTTTGCTGAGGACTTGTCATTCTGGGGGTAAACAAACAACTGAATGTTGCTGGAGATATGACATAACTACAGCACCCTTGTGGCAGCCATTCAAAACTTAGAAAACTCCTCTTTTAAATGATCATAGACTCATTCCAAGAAGATGTTTGAGAACTGAAGCAATGCGTCATGAAATCAGTTCATTCTTTTTACTAACCCTGTGTGTGTGTTTATATGTTTATATATATATATATATATATATATATATATATATATATATTTCGCCATATTTTATATTTTTAATTTTGTACATGCATGTTGTCTGTTTCTGTTGACTGAAAAGTATAGTAAGGTTAGTTGGGCACTGTGAGAAAAAGAGCACAACTCTGCCAGAAATTTGGAAACGGCATGCTGTACTGCTTGGCATTTATGTCATGATGGATGCTCCAATAGGAATATCTCGGTGTGTTTGGCAGTGAATTTGAGAAGAAAGAGTTGGATGAGTCTAATGGTGATTACAAAGGTGCAGCAACTTTTAAAACTCACTCTGATAATTCTGATACAAAAAGAAATCCTGGATCCACATGGAGGCCTACATTAAGTGTCTTGAGGTGGTAGTGCTGACCTGGGTCAAGAGGGTGGCTGCTGGAAGACCCTATGTCTGGAAAAAGGGACCCTGCAACGTGCCACACAAGCAGGAATATACAGTCATGGCTGTCACACAATTTCTGTGACCACATTACTCCTTATATCTGGCTACATAACTCTCCAGACTCTAACCCCCTTGATTATTGTGTGTGGGACGCAGTTGAGCAAGATACCAACAAAACTCCTTGTAATACCAAAGCTGAACTGAAGGTAAGGATTATGGCAGCATTCACTGACTTAAACAAGGAAGATGCAGAATATTCCAAAGTCATCTGGAGGTCTTGGTTGAAGCCAACGGCAATTTTATTGAATATATTTACTATTTAGTATTTCAAGATATTTTTGTGCATTGGTAAATATATCTGTTAAAATGAGATGTCAGCGTTATTTTCAGTTTTGTATAATTTAGAAGATAGTTTATCCTTCGCATCCTGTAACTACATAAATTTATAAATTTTCATTGTTTTCTGTGCAATTCAAATAATAATAATAATAATAGCCTATGTATAAATTCTATGTAGTTACTGTTTGAATTTCTGAGATGAGTTATTATTTAAACTATTTACATGCAGGCTATTGTCCTCATCACAAAAATAGGAGGCTTATGGTCATATCATGTTGAAATACAGGTTCCCATACAATCTGTTGTAGAGTGGTTCCACAGTGGAGGCTTGTATTTCACTAAGTCAGTCCTAAAATAGGTTTGACGTACAAAATGTTAGGAACTTGATATAATAGATAATGATGCAGAGATCTAGTTGTGGTGGCTGGTACTTTTAGTATCCGACTAACGGTCATCCGACATCGACCGACTGACCAACTCACTGAGCGACTTAGCGACTGCTACTACTCCTACTTATTATAGGTGGAGAGTCTATTAACAATAGAATAGGTGTGTTCCACTATAACACAATCACTGAAGCTAAGCAATGGTGAGCCTGGTCAGTACTTAGATAGATGACCACTTGGGAATATCAGGTGCTATAAGCTTGGATGTGCAGGTGGTGTAATCGATAATGGCTTGAAATTGTTGAGCCAAGTTCCAATTGAGTTCATTTTATTCACTCATGCACAAATACATTGGGAAATGTATAAATCTACCTCTTCTCCCCCAAGCTATGGGTTAATTAATATGACTTGTGTCACTAAACCCATTATCTTCAAAAAGTAAATAAATAAAATTGCAGACAAAATATTTAGATTTTGGCATTAAATAACCAATAAAGTTTGAGAGGCTGCAAAAAAACAAAAAAAAGACCAACCAACAAAAATAAAAACCAGACGATATATCCTTAGACATTAGAACAATCTACCCTTGTAGATAAAATAAAAGGTTCAGATCCAAAGATCCCGTAGGTTATTGAAATCAACATACACCTAATGAAGGCCGGAGGACACAACAGCCAAAACTTTGTTATAACAACAACAGAGATGAGGACAATAGTCCACATGTAAACAGTGTAAATAGTATATATTGTTATACATTTTTATTTTCCTATTTCTGCTTTTAAAATTACATACACCCAACATTTGAGTTAGTTTTCTCTATTTAGGTTCAAATCCAAATCCTAAGCAAAACAATCATCATATTTGATACTGAGTCAGATCTCATCTGATTTTTTCCACATCTACTTTAAAATCTGTAGATAAAATGTTTGACTTGGATTGTTTATTATAGAAATTATGGAAGAAGCAAAAAAACAGTGATTTTGCTTCAAAATAGTCTATTTTCTATCAGAAAACAAAAACTTTTATCATCTGAATATTATACATTTTATAAATAATCTGATCCATAAACATCAGAGTGCACAGTGTAAAAAAAATTTGCTGAATGTTTAAAGGATTCTCTATATGATATCTAAAATCAAATTTTCACATAAACAGTACAGTGAATATTACTCCAACTTTGTTTATATACATTTATGTTACAAATTAATAAAATTCTAATACTAAGAAAAAAAAAAAATTGGATCATATCTATATATAAAATTCTGTGACTTCTGTTATTCTGTCCATCTATTACAACCTCTAAAATAGCCATACATTGACCAATCAAAACCAGATTTTGGGGAAAAGTGCAAACATGTAAGGTGGTACAAAGGACAGTAGGTTTTACTAGGTACCTTAGTACAATAAATTTTCATTAATTCTTTTGGAAAAGTTATTATTTAACATACAAAATACTCTTACTATTTTAAAAACAATTTAATCAGCAATATTAAATACAGTAAGGATTTCAATATGCATCAGCATGTCACAAAAATATTTTAGTATGCTAAAAAACAAAAGAAATGGTTAATTATAGTGCAGCATTGTATGTGTGTGTGATTGAGACAGGGATATTCAAACGTTCAGCATTTGTGTGAGTTCCTCTTAATGTCAAGTTAATTGTCTCTTGACTTTTGTCTTCTTTCCTTGAAAATGATCAACATTATGCACAATTTTGGCAAGTTCCTTTACAAGTTTTCAACCAACATCAAAGAAGTTATTTGACAGCAGGAGAAACACACCAAAATGTTGAAGAGAAATTTCTTGTTTGTTATATTGAATAAAACATTTAACTGAAGAATTGCTGTCTCATTATGTGTCTGCGTGTGTAAGTTTTCTTGAGTATGCAAGCCAATAGACAAAATAAATACTGTTTAAAATAAATAATTGGGCATTAACTCAAATATGGGTATCCATTAAAAACAACATTTAAAGTAAAAGAAATTTCTGAAAAAGTAAAATCTATTAATTCTTTAGAAATTGCTATATACACAACACAGACAGATGTACACACAGAGTTTAAAATTTGCTATATTTATAAGGGAAGAGTGCTCAATATTTTATAGCTGTATAGATATTGATAGTGTGTTCATAAGAAACAGTGTCTATGTGTATGTCCATATATATATATATATATATATATATATATATTTATTTTAGCATGTTTTCATTGAAACATGCTTCATTTAGACAAGTTTTGTCTGTATATTTTAAACTGATGATAACATTGTGCTAATGTCAAAAGTACTCGGAATAAATGAATATGTATCAATACGGTAAGTTTCTCTCTTTCTTTAATACTTGACACCAAAAAGCTTGTCTGTGAATATGAAAGGATACAATTGAAAATAAGTAGACAAAACTTATCTAAATTATTCAATGAAACATGTCTCTCTCTCTCTCTATATATATATATATATATATATATATATATATATATATATATATTCCTTTTTTTCTTATATATATAAGAATGCTCAATTTTAAATATTTTTTGAAAGATGTTTTAATACATACAAAAATATTTTCATCTAGTTATCAATTTTCATCCTGTACATGCATAACAATTTTTCAAAATAGGTGCTTTTTTTTTTATCTTGGATGCTCCTGAGATCTACTGTTCTTTCAATGTTTTTCAAAAGGAAACCATCAGCATACCAACAGTAATTTAGCTCCTTCTGTTTATCAAATTCTAATATTTAATGAGCTATTTATGTTCTTAAATTCTATGGTTTTCAGTTTCTTCTTGATACATAGATTGCAATTTCTGCCCATATGGATGAAGTCAAAACTGAAAATCAGAGAATTTAAGAACATAAATGATTTAAATTATAGAACTTTAGACTCAAATTAACTTTCTTAAATTAAGAAAATAAACTGATAAAAAATGAAGTCTCTGTTTATTATTTAGTGATTTGAAATGACATCTGAAACACTAGTTGAATGATAGATAAACAATTAGGTTAATCTGTTTAAATTACTGAAACTTTTAGTAGAACCATGTGAGTTTTTGTGTATTTGTTAATAAAACACAAGCTGTATCTAAATGAAAGTGTTAAGATTGTTTTTAGTTGTATCAAGAGAAAGGTTCCATTAATTTGGATGCAATCATTTTTGTCTCTTAGTGTTTTTAATGATATTGGCACTTGAAATGACAGGAGTCACCTGTCACATACAGAATCTCCTTTGCAAGTGACTTCATTGCAAATACCCATATCTCAATGTTATCTGGCAGTAGGAACACATTCCCAACAAAAACTCATGGGTTGCAACTGATAATATTGGACAAATAACAGGATTTTGAAAAAATATATATATATATATATATATATATATATATATATATATATATATATATATATGTGTGTGTGTGTGTGTGTGTGTGTGTGTGTGTGGTTATGTCTGTTGGTGGGTGAGGTAGTGGAATCTTACCAAAATCAATGATTGTTAAAAATGTTTATATTTTTATTTTGTTTTGTTTTTTTGATTTCTCTTACCTGCATTTTTTTTTTATTATTTTATCAGCCATTTTTCTTCAGCCTTTATTTTTTTTTCCCTTTATGTTTTTTGTTCCTGGTCTTCTTTCCTCTTTCTCCACCTTTCATCTTTATTCTCTGTTTATTGTTACTGACATTTTATTTACAGGTTTTTTTTCTTTCTCTCTATTTTTATCGCTTTTCCTCCTTCCCTCTTTTTTTTTCATCTCCCTATTGCTTCTTTACTCCCTCTCTGCTTTTTCATTTTCTTTTTTTTCTCTCTTCTTTTCATCTGATTTCTTTCTTTTTTTATATTTCTGACTTTTTCTCTATAATTCCATATTTTTTGTTTCACACTTTTATAATTTCTTTTTATTTTATCATTCCTCATCCTACATTTGGTTTCTCAGTTTTCTTTCTGTATTCTTCAAATTTTGGTTTGTTCCTTTTTCAAGACTTTTTATTTTCCAATTTATACTTTATTTTTGCTGTATGGTTTATTTTATTTACCCCCATCTTCATTTCAATTTTTTCTTTATGTTATTTTAAAATAATCATCCTCCTGTCTTTTCTCCTTCTTCAAAGTTGATTTTTTCAATATCTTTCTCCTTCCATTTTTTCCTTCTAAATTCTTTTGTTCTGTATATTTTTCCATTTCTTTTTCCTCAAAGCCCATTTATTCAACACGTTTTTCTTCAATTTTTCCTTCTAAATTCTTTTGTTCAGTATACTTTTTCTTCAAAGTCCATTTCCTCAACAATTTTCTTCCACTTTTTCATCTTTCTCACTTTTTCTTATGTCCTCCTCTCTTTCTGCAATACACTACCCCTCTTCACATCTGCTTCTCCTCCACTTCAACAATTTTTCTTCTTCACTCCTCTCTTTATGTGTCTCCCACTTGGAATTTCTTCACAACTTTACTGTTCAAATGACATATCTAAAATCTTGACAAGCCATTTAGAGTAATCCCCTGGCTTATCCAACCACTGATGCTAAACCATAGTTGACGGTTGTAAAGGGAACAGAGATAAATCATAAGCAGGTAAATATACTACACACAAGAAGACATATGATAAGGAAACAAACTTAAAAGGGGTTTGAATGGAACAAACAAATTAACAGCACTGATTGTCAAACAACACTACTGCTAGGCTTCTTTTTCTTATATATATATATATATATATTTGTGTGTGTGTATATATGTATGTATATATATATTAATGGATATTTTGGCAGCAACCTTTCTTCCAAACATCTTTCATTGAATATGGCCAGCAAAAAAGATTGAATTAATTTTTTATTAAGTTTTTTGCAGCATCCTAACATTTTTCTGTTTTTTAGGAGTTAAGGAATATAAAAATTGTCCATAATTTTTATTGTCCCAAGCGCTTTCAGCCACTTCTATAGCCATTTTCAAGGGTGTTTTGTCTCTGGTGTTGTTATTTTTTCCTTGTGTTTTGACTGTTACGTTGTAAATTATGTTTATGTTGTTTTCGAAAAAGGAGCGCTCATTCCAAGCTCTCATGTGCCACGCAACAGAAAATTGTATGAGTATCTTTCTATATTTTTTTATTTTTAAAAACTTTCAACACTCCATTTCCATTATTAAATAATGTAAGTTTTATAGTAGGAGAGAATTGTTTGATATATAGGGCCCACTTGAAGAGTGAAATGTTTCTGATAATGTGATTTATATATATATATATATATATATATATATATATATATTGAGGCAGCAACCTTTCTTTGAAACATGTTTCATTAAATATGAAAGACTTGGAAAATGTGATGAATTTTTTATTGAAATTTTTCTAGTATTCTTACATTTTCCCGTTTTGTGGGTGTAAGGGAATCTAAGAATTGTCTCTAGTGTCTATTGTCCCAAGTGCTTTCAACCACTTCTTTCACCATTTTAAAGGTGGGGTTGTTTAATTGTTATTAATTTCTTTCAATGGTTGTCTTTTAAGAATATTGTGTGATGCATATTGCATGATAATAGCCTTTATTTCTAGACCCGTGAAAGGAATGTAGTTGGAATATCAGTTGACATCCTTCATATAAATATATATATATATATATATATATATATATATATATATATATATATATATATATATATATATATATTTGTGATGGTGACAAAGAGTCATTGCCACTTTTGTAATGTTAATGAATACTCATTGTCACTTTCGTAATGCTCATTGTAGTAGAGACTTTGTAATCGCAGATACAACTATAGTAACACTGTTGAACAATATCGGTGTCAGACGCCTTGGAATAACACTTGTGCAAATAGTACTTGCTTGATAATACTCGCTTGAAAAGTAATCCGTATAGTGATCCGTATAGAGATAGAGGATAGTGTAGAAAGAGTGATCCATATAGTAATAGAGTATTGAATAGAAGTGGTGATCAATTAAATGCCATGCTAATTCCTATATATACATTTCCTTTACCATCAGGTGGTCTATTTATTAGAAATGGAATCACCTGTGTTTGCTCACAACTAGTTGGCAGAACAGAGATTAGGAGAGATAGCAAAAAGAGAAACCATACTAAGATCTACAAAGGGTAGGTAGTTGAGGAGAGCCATGATTGCCCACATCCTGAAGGATCCCGACACACAGAACATATATATATATATATATATGTGTGAATATAGGATTAATTGCATATATAAATACATGTGCATAGGTGTCAGTTATGTGCCATGCGTGATACATGCATAAACGATCATGTATCTTTCAATATATGACTGACGAGGCAGATTTTTTTCCTGCAGTAGTTGCCATTTCTTTATATCCAAGGTTATAGAACCCAACCTGTCCTACTATTTACCCATAGCTGGAGGGAGAAGAAGAGGATTCATACATTTTCCAAGGTTATTAGCATGTAAGTGAATGTAATGGATTTGGCTGGAATTCGAACTTGGCTCTCCAATTCCTGAATCTGAGAGCCGAGTTCGAATTCCAGTTGAATCCATTACATTCACTTACGTGCAACATACTTTTTCTATTTAAGTGAATGCCAATGTGTGCATATGTATTTAATCCTTTGTATAGATGTATATGAGAGTATGTATGTAATAGTTATTTTTCTAGACACATTTGAAATATTTGATGTTTTCACTTAGCAAGCAATTACATGTACATATAGTGCTATATACATACAATTATATATATATATATATATATATATATATATATATATATATATATATATTATATATACTCATAAATATTTTACATTTGAACATATTTCAGACAGCTCAGAATTATTCTAAAATCTCTTTGTGGTGACATTCAATACTTTCAACAACCTAATCAGAATTTTTTTCTATATCTAATTTTTCATTCATCTCTTAACTCCTGTCAGGTAAATCTCTTTTCTTTCAAAACCATTTTTTTTCTAATGGGCTATTTTAATATGTTTGAAGTTATTCATTTTTTATCTTCACTTTTCCACTTTTTGCAACCCCCATATTGCCATTCATTTTTTTTTCCTCCAACCAAAAGACACCCACCTAACGAAAAAAAAAATATATTTAAATGGCCACAAATTTCTCATTTTTTTCCATCATCACAGTGTTTAAAATATGCAATTCAGAGCTTCAGAGAGAATTTACAACTTTCACAAAACCTTTGAAAGCTAAAAAGGCAAAGGCAGAAGTTTTGAAACCATAAGTGTGTGATTTTATTTTCAACAATGTCTGCACATATTCTTCCCTAATAATCATGGAATATCAATTCTTGGCAATAAACTTCATTGCATTAATTCAGTTCCATTTCTCTGGTTTAAAAAACAAAATCAAATAGCCCTTAAAATGAAAGAAAAGAAAAGAGCCTTAAAAATGAAAGAAAAAAAAAGCCTTAAAAATGGAAGAAAAAAAAAAAAAGCCTTAAAATGAAAAAAAAAAAATTGTTAATCCATAGGCTTCAAGTCAGCATTTATAAAAGAATATGCATCATTTTTGGTTTCATAATAATATGCTGAGTGCTAGAAAAAAAAAATCTTTATTGTCGGATGGTGGGAGAAATGCTGCAGAGTTTGTTTCAAACCTTAATTCCAAAAAAAAAAAAAAAAAATGACGCTTACCAATATTTTTTTCTTTTTTCATTTTTTAAAAATAATGTTTTTCCATGAGATTTGAGTTATAATGCAATGATGAAATTATTTGGCATGATTATAACATTTAGGTTTCAGTCCCCAATAGTGGCTAAGTAATTTCATGTTCAGTTAGGAATCATTTCTAACTTGCTATTTTAAGTCATAGTACTCTAATTCAAGCACTGGAATCTAATCATAAATTAAAACATTCACAAACTTAACCAAATACTAGAATATGGGTGCAGTGAAAAGACAAATGCACATATAACTAAAGCTTTATTAAACTCAGAATCGAGTGTGTCCAAACTGGACTTATTTAAATACAGAATATGTATAAGGGGTGATTGTTCTATTATTAGTTAGCATAATAAATTTTCTAAGACATTAATTCATCAAAAATTCTTTTTTTATTGCAAAAAATGTGAAAATTATAAAAAATTGCTAAAATATCTATTTACTGTCATTTAAAACCATTTGGATGGTCGATGCAAAATCTTCTCTTATAACTGAAATGATGGAAATATATTTTATCTTCAGCACCTCAGTATATTTTAGGCTTACAGCCATACCACATTGAAACACTGCTTTCTTTACAATTATCAAAGTTAAGCAGCATTGAGCTTGGTCACTACCTAGATTGGTAACTGCTTGGGAATACCATGTGCTGTAAATTTGGATGTGAGGTAGATATAGCTTATGGCCATATCACGTTGAAACAATGATTACCACACTATCATCAAAATTAAACAAGTTGAGCTTGATCAGTACCTAGATGGGTGACCACTTGGGAATAGCAGGTGCTGTAAGCTTGGATGTGTGGGTGGTGTAATGGATAATTGCTTGAAATTGTTAGTCAGAGATCAGAGTTCCAATTCCAGTGGGATTTGTTATATTCACTTATATACAAAACCCCTTTGTGAAATGTATGTATCCACTTCTTCTCTTCCCATTCATATCTCAAGAAAAAAAAATGAATTCTTACAAACTAAAATTATATTCTAACAATAAATAACCTGAACAATGTTGATAAGTCATAGAAAATGAAATCAATCAATTATAATATATTTTCTATACTAAAGTCAATCTACATTGCACTGATTGCGACTATAAATTTTTTACTTTTGGGGAATCTACAATTTCTTATAACTATAAACATTATTTTTAGTGGGTATATGCCAGATGAGTTGCAGTCCATGATTTTTTTTATTTTATTAAACAGTGAAATTAACAACAACCAGCCTAAATATATAGATATAATGTAAACAAAGCAATTTCTAAAGAAGTGATGAATTTTCTTATTTATTAATCCATTACATTTTATCATTTAAACATTATTTTTAGTTATTTTTAGTGGCTACCCATATTTGAGAAAATAAGCAAACATACTGTTTAATAAATAAATGGCGCATCTACTCAAGTATGGATGTCCACTAAAAAATAACATTTAATAAAATATATCAGATTAATAAATTTAAAAAAAATCGATCTCTTCTTTAGAAATATATACATATATATATATTTTCCAGCTGTGCTCATTATGTGAAGGCTCAGAATAAACACTCCTAATTTTATTCAAGACCACACAAAAAATACATCTTAAACAGTCTAAACATGAAGAGAAACTAACACCACCAAATAAAAAAAAAAAAAACCTTGAAAATGGCTAAGGATGTGGTCAAAAGTGCTTGGGGTAATGGACGATATCGAGAGGTTTTGTATCCCCTCACTCCAACCAGACAGAAAACTGTAAGAATGCTGGAAAAACTAAATAAAAAATTAATAAAATTTTCTTTCTCCATCATATTTACTGAAAGATGTTTTTAGA